AGAATACTCAGAATTAGGAGATGTTCTAACTACGATTCCACCTTCAGTCGTGATCTGAGTGTCAACAGTTTGAGGAGGGCACATGCTGGTGCCAAGTAGATATCCTTCTAACCCATGGCCCCTCACAATTGGCATTATAACATTTTTCCAGAGCAGGAAATTGTCTTTGTCAAGCTGGACAGAGGCTGCTTGGGTCAAGTTCATCCCAAAGAGGGAAAAATTACTCCCAAGAGCTGGGAGTTGAGTTGATGAACTAGGATTTGTAGTTTCTGGGTTCGTGGAACTTGAATCCGAGGCAGGAAGTAAAACATTAGCCATGGTTTTGGCTCTGATACCAAGATAGAAAACAAGAAAATTAAGAATTGAAGAAGATGACTTTCGTATATAACTCAACTCAATCGAATACGAATTACAGGGATCATTTCTGCTCTATTTATACACAAAGAATAATTGCCAGCTATACATAACAATTTCTCAACCGGATTGTACAATGCAAGCAAATACACTAAGAATCAAATCCCTGAAATCTAGGATAGGTGGAGTTGCTGGGCATGAATCAGTTTTGGTTGTTGTACTGTAGCGTTCTTCTTCCTTCATTCACCGGTACCATAGATTTATCTTTTCCAACAATCTATGTGTTAAAATGAAAGCAAACCTATCCTTATAGGATGAAGGGAGTATATGATATATATCTAACACTAATAGCATTGATTGAGTGATAGAGCAAAGAGTTGGACATACATGATGACCCGATGGTTCAAATGATGGAGTTCTCGTGGAAGGCGATTGTTGGGTCGAATCATAGACGAAATTGTTGTTCTCTGTTCCCTTTAGTGCGTGCACATCAGCGCATCTATGTCTGAATAAATGATATCAAGTTTTGAGTATCGTACGCAGTATGTAGTTACACTGCAAGCTGAATTTCCAGGTACAAGTTTGATGAGTTGCATGTCTACCCTGCCAAAAAATAATGATCTTCGACTGAAGTAAGAAGTTGGCCATGATCAAGTATCTTAGCTCGTTGATCGACCCAAGTGAAGTCTATATGTTGGTAGAATTTTCCGGCCGAAGCAATCATAAGATAGGCTAAGACTACAGGAAATAGAAACATATTCGCGATCATTTGAAAAGAAGATGACATTTTCTTTAGGTATGATGTATTTCAATTGCTACAAAACTAGGAACTATGTTGAGAATGCGAGAGGGTTTTGTGAGATCTAGAATAGACGTGTATTCATTTTTTTTTTCTTCAATACACCTTCTCACATGCATACTGAATTCATTCGAGACATACAATTTATAAAGAGATGACGATTAGAACATGTAATGTGAACCAGGTAATGTAAAACTGGCAAATTTATTTGCCTTGGTTCGAATATGAGAATAACAATTGATTTGTATGTGGCACTTCCCCTTTAAAGCCTCCCCTAGTACAATTGGACAAGGCAGACGTTAATTTATGTAATATTACATAGATTTTTTCAAAATCTTAGCTGCTTCGTGTTCACGTGAAATCTTAGTTTTTCTTTTTTCTTTACTCAAAATTTGAGGATGTAGTTAACGTTAGATCAGACCATCCTGTCACAGGCTTCCCACACCGTCAAAACCTTTGAAGTTTGGTCTTATTATCCTATAGTAAGGGATTTCATAAGTGCATTAAAAGGGAAAGAAAGTTTATCTGAAGTAGAGAGTTTTAAAATAGTTACGTAAAAGTGACGTTCTTGTCAATTAATTAGAGTCAAAAATCTGAAACTTGGAAGCTAATGTCGATGGATGGAGAGGGCTTAAAACTAACATAACTTAGTAGATGTCACGATAGATTGACCTAAGTGCAAAATAAAATTTATGGTCTTGAGTTTCGACTTTAAAGTTATTACGAATGTTGGGAGCTGACGTTGCACGCGATCAGAAATAAAGTGAAAATCGATCTTTATTTCTTCCGGAATGGAAAGACTAGATTTGAGCATAGGTAATAAGTGGTACCCACAGTATCACAGTAAACAACTATATAGAAGAAAGTTGGACTCCAAGTAGAGCAGCAGAGACAAAATCTAAAAGACCTCGTAGATGCGCTTGCGATAGCTCTATGCTCTGCTTCGTTAGATTAGCGGGTGACATAACTCTATTTATGCGAGCTCCAAAGAATTGGATTATGACCAAGAAAAACCAAACGAGCACTTGCTAAGGTGCGATCATCTTCGTCCCTGGCCCAATCTGAATCAAAGGAAGCATGAGATAACGGAGATTGGCGATGAGTAAATAATCAATAAGAGTAAGTGCCGCAAAGATTGCATATGAGACCTTTAACCACAGCCAAGTGTTGTATAGTCGGCCGATGCATGAATTGAGATAATTTATTGACTATAAATGCAATATCAGGGAGGATAAGCAGGCTATACACGAGACTGCCCACGAATTGACAGTACTCTGTGGCATTGGTAAAATATGTCATCTTTGAGGGGAAAATTGGTAGAAGTGGACATACGAGTCTTAAAAATCTTGGCCTTGAGCTTAGTAGTGTTACTAGTGTGGTGAAATAAATCCTGAATATATCGATTTTGAGATAGAAGTATGCTTGACGTAGTAGTGATAACCTCATTGCAAAGGAAGAAGGATGGTGAGCCAGGATCTATGATAGAAAATCGAAAATCAAGCCGTGAAACAAAGTTACCAATATATGTATTTCATAGTTATAAAGAAAGGGAAGTATCTGATTTTTAGTTAACATATCCCATGATAATTAGAAAATTGTGTAGTTTAGTGTATTTCGATCATGGGGCTTGCTTGAGACCATATAAAGCTTTTCGTAAGAGGCAAACACAATGAGAATGAGCATAATCAACAAAACCCAGACCATATAATCACTCTCTGCTGGTGTGCCATCTAAGGTGTTATTGGAGTTAAGTTGACAGACTGTGTATGAGACAATAGTTGAAAGACGTGTATGAGACAATAGTTGCTTGTTTGACAACTGGGTTAAATGTCTCATGGTAGCTCAAGTTAAAATATACTTTATACGTTCCATAAAGATAATTTTATTTCTTTTTCACACTGATTAAGAAAATTTAATTAACATAGTTGAAATAATAAATTTTACTATCATTTTTCCTAATATATCCCTACATTAATGTAATCAATATTCAAAGTAATTAAATTATGTATGCAATATTCAACGCAATTAAATTATTCTTGATACTAGCCATGGTTTAATGTATGAATCAAGGTAATTAACATTTTAAAGTCATCCAATACAAATACAAATGAATGAATGTTATGGAAGATGAAATTATTATTATTTGCTTTTAATTTATTGTTCAAACTACAATTGAATAATGAAGTGATTTATATTTGTGATAATAAATCACATTAATAGGGGCATATTAGAAAATTATATTAACTACACTCTTAAATAAGAAGTGTTATAAACTAACCGTATACTAGAATCGCACCGATACCACTTTATTGAGATTTCGGCCAATTAATTAAAGAAGAGATTAATATGAGTGATATGAAAAAATAATAGATCACACAACTACCAAAATTTTGTGGAAGAAGAGAATTTAGTCTACCAAGAAACTAAAATTGTCTTTACAAGAATTGTTTTTCTCAATCTAAATCTCTCAAATTTTTAATATATACAACAATGATTTAATTATTATCTTGAGTCCTTCTCAAATCTATGAAGAGCCTATACCTTGTGGAGTATTTATAGTAGCCAAATTTCGGAGTTATGGATGAAGTAGAACACAAAACCGTGTAAGAAACCAAACATGATTAAAATTCTATTCGACGCCGCCTGCCCTACGCTGGCGTGCCGGACATTTTGTTCTTACTCACGCTACCGACGTCGTGGAGCCACGTCCTAGTGCCCCCGTTCTATCTCAATGCGTCCAAAACACATTTTTTTCCATTTCAAAAGTTTCTATTACAATCAAACTCGCAATCCATGATGAAATTTGATTCCTTATCAAACTGGACTGAACCAAAATTATTTAAGGTTGATCCATGAATCAAACTTTTAATTCACTTGAAATTTGAGTCACAAAACATAACAAGAAACATGACTATAATTTGGAATAGGCAAAAAAAGGAAAATATGATTATCTTTATGGGATGGAATGAGTATTACTTAATATTTTGGTATATAACCAACGTAGGATATATCTTTTAACATGCCTTGTAAGTTGGTGACTTATTTGAAAAAATTAATTTTGAAATCCATTTGCTCATTTAAGTCCTAGTCTAATTTTTTATTAGAGTTTAATGTATTCTGGCGAATTCATAGGTTCAATTCCTATTGGATCCAAGCCAATGGGACCCCCTTAGTGCCCAGGGACGGGAGTGGAGGGCGGCTTTATGGACAGGCAACACCAACACCGACTCTACGAAACAAGAATGTATGGAGCTTCTCGGTGCAGTGTTTGAACCCACAAGCACCTTTCATCTACCCTACGTAGGACATGGCCTTTAGGAAAGGGCATGAGAAGAGGAAAAGAAAATTTGAAAGGCTTTGTAAACACTTACAATGTAATGAAATGGAAGGAGGCCACATACTTTTGTTATAATCACATAGCAAGCAATTTCTAAGAGATTACAAGAGTTTCAATCTTTAACCATCTAGGATACAAAAAATTTGCAATTAATAAAATCATTACTAGATATTTTAAAACAAAGAGGCAATATTAGAAACATCCTTGAACTTCATGAAAATATTAGACACACTCAGCATTTAAAAATGGTGCATGTTTCATCTCTCCCCAAAAGCGGAGCATGTAGTTCGGTTTGAACATCAAAACTATTTAACATTTTCAATTTTCATGCATTTGACGCCAAGATAAACTGAACATTTGATCAATTGATTGTACAGTACCATTTAATCTTATAATTCCAATCAATACGTTCACATTCGACTCAAAAGAGTAAGAAATGACGGGTTCACACGAACATAAAATTAATCACACAACATTGATGAAACAACGAATCATTCCTCCGCAAATTTCCTAGAATCTTGAACGCTTGCATTCTTCAGAGAATCCTTGAGGAAACCTTTGAACATCGGCACAGTAGTTATAGACCATGTGGTGTTGCTGTACCCAACGGAGCCTATTTCTTCCCTTTGCATCAAGTTCTTGAGTTTGCCACGCTCCGGAGTTGGCACAAGATCCACCAGATTTTCCGGTTACACAGCCATTGGCATTGAAATTCCTGTAGTAGGCAGTGAAAGGCGCTTTTGTCCAGTCTGTCTTCACTCGCCCGCCTTGTGTTGCCCAATCGTCTGCATTCCATAAGCTGCAGTGCACTCTCATGGGTTGGCTCTTAGGAAATGGAATGCCAATTGCTTCGTGATTGTTGAATACTCTCATAGGACTATTGTCCACCAAGAAACTGAATTTCACCAATCAGAATTAGTATTGATTTGCAGATAAGTAACGATAATTAACAAAAATAAGATTCCAGGGAATTTTATATACATGATGCGCCGAGGATTCCACACAATTGAGTAGGTGTGGAAAGCTGCTGCCGGATCAAACCAGAGATGGAATTGTTGTTCCTTATTTCCTTTCCCTTGGGAATACACATTGGTATGAACAGTGTATGGCTGTCCTGATGCATTGCCAAGAAACTCGAAGTCAATTTCATCATGACCAGCTCCTTGAGACGATAACTGCAGACAGAACAAAACAATTCAATGATCAATTACGAAAAACAAACCAAGCATTATTTAAATAAGTTTGGGGTTAGCCCCAAATTGAAGGACAACTGGAGACTTACGAAAAAAGTGGTTACGGTTCCAGCAGAGTTTTCAGGAACAAGTTTGAGTTGCATGTCGAATCTTCCAAACAAGTACTCATTCTTGGACTGAAATCCAGAACCAGAATACTGGTCAAGTGACAACGTCAACATTCTTCCACCTTCGACTATCTTTCCACGCCCGTCACCCCAAGTAATATCAGCATCTCGGTAGAAGTTACCAGCTGTAGGGATCGTGAAACAGGCCAAGACCACAGACAGTGAAAGCATCAGTAAATTTGGTAAAGCTTTCGAATTAGTAAAGACTGCCATTTTTGAGAAGAAGTTTGATGAGTAAAAGTTGGGTTCTGAAAGCCCTTTTTATACAGATTTTGCACTCCTCTTTTGGAAGCTGTCAACTAAGCTGGACGCCATGGATTGAGAGTTGGCCAAGATTAATTGAACAAACTCGAGACATAATTATTTTTCCGCGTAATGTATGAGCGTTTATTATCTCTGGCATGGGTCCAACCTGAGAGGTTCTTTTTAGGCGGTGCAAAATATATGCAACTTAACCGAAAATTATGATATAAAATTAAACCTCATATTTGATTCTTAAATTTCATTATGCAGCATAATAATTTGTAGGCATCATATATCGTATTTTCCGCGAACCTTCTCGTTTACATAATTATAATACAGGCAAGAATTATACATTTACGTATCCAAATGATCAGGCCGTCTTTCCGAGTCGTGGTTTTGTCGTGGTCTTTTATTGTTTTTTTTTTTTTTTAATAATTTAGTTGAACATTCTATTGTATTTTCAAATTAAATTGTTAGAAAATAAATTTTAAATAAAATTTATTAGTAGTAGTAGATGTATGACGATAGTTAGAATTACAATTAAAACTAAGAAAATGATGGAAAAACATAATAGGATTATCGATCAACACAATAATTAAATCTTTAATTCTCAACAATAACCATAAATCTTACTCCCTCTTGAAATCCGGAAAAATAACAAAACATAAAAACATACATTGATCCATGATAATCTGATTCTTTTCTTGAATAGGATATGATCTTCCAAATGATTGGTGATCTTTCCTTAACTTTTGCTCTCTATTGATGAGGATGTAGAGAAACTTGAAAAACACCAACAAATGGGGACCATGACCATATAAAATAATAGTAGTAACTCAATAGTCACTATCTTTTAGTTGCTTCAAATTGGCCCTTATCAATTTAAAACAACACTCCNCAAATTGGCCCCTCATCAATCTAAAACAACACTCCGGTCTCTATACTATAATTTCATGAAACCTAATATCCATTAGTCACAATACATTTTTATCGGATCACTTTAATTGACTAATATCCTTTAAATAATAGCACCACATATTTCAATATACAACGTGTGGCCACATATATATTGAAATTATCCAACAATCTCCCACTGGACCATACGTGTAACCTTACAAATGTGCACAACCTTATGAGCTCAAAATTTCGCTATTTATTATTATATGTATTACCAAACAATCTCGTCCATTCGCCATATTGATATAGGATCAAAGCGATTTTTGTCACATTTAACGTGACTAAATCCATCAATGGTGACATACACACGTATAACCAAATGACATAGATCAATCATGGGAGTGTAGCATGACAATTACATGTTATGTAATCCAAACATGTCTATTTCCAACTGGTCCAGCTTTATTTCTTAAGTGAGATCAATACTGAACATAATAACAGAGTGAAATGAACTGAATACTTTATTTCTATACAGAATAATATCCAAATATACNTATAGAATAATATCCAAATACACAAATGTGTCCAAAACATAAAGCAATGAAAATACAATCTCCCACTAAAACTTGATATCCTCATGATATACAACACCCACATGAGCAGTGTGCTCATGAAAGACCTTGGGTGTTAATCCCTTAGTAAACGGATCAGCAATCATGGAGTTATCCCAATATGTTCTATGGAAATCTGTCAATTCTGTACTCTTTCCTTCACAACTAGGAACTTGATGTCAGTGTGTTTTGACTTAGATGAGCTCATGTTGATATTTGAATATAGAACTGTTGAGTTATTGTCACAATATAATTTTAGTGGTCTTTCTACATCATTCAGAATGCACAGCCTAATGATAAAATTTCACAACCATATTCCATAATTAGATGCCTCATAGCATGCTATAAATTCTGCTGCCATGGTAGAAGAAGCTATGAGTGTCTGATGTGGATCTCCTACTATCTTGGCATCCAGCAAAATCAGAGTCGGAGTACCCTATGGTTTCCAACTGATCCGATTTGATATAGGTGAGCATTAATCATTTGGTCTCTTCAAATACCTCATAATCGTTTTGCCTGCTTTCCAATGATCCATTCCAAGGTTGCTCAAATATCTGCCTAGCATTCCAACAATGAATGCTATGTCTGAACGTGTACAAACTTGAGCATATATAAGACTTCCAACAGCTGATGCATAGGAAATTTTCTGCATTTCCTTAACTTCAAGGTTATTTTGCGGGTATTGTTCGAGACTAAATTTGTTTCCCTTAGCGACAGGGGTGTCACCTGATTTACAGTCTTGCACGCCAAACCTCTTAAGTACTTTATCAATATAGCTCTTTTGTGACAATCTAAGAATACCTCGAGAGGGATTTCAATATACCTGAATCCATAAGAAATTAATTAACTTAGAATATTAGAAGGACTTCATGTGTATGCTAGTTCATGTGGATATTAACCGGCCCAAAGGAAGGTTAATATTTGGCCGAATTGCATGCACACTTGTGGTGGTAAATGTGTGACTATTATAAGATTTTCATGTGAATAATAAATCAATCCAAAGATGAGTTTATTATTTGATATGAGTTATTGTCAATGTTTCATCACTACACCAAGAGTGCCACTTAAAATTAATATTACTGTCCAAAAACTTGATATTAATGATGTGCTAGGTATCTTAAGATGGGACTTACCATTATTTGAATTTATTGATTATTGAATCTTAATATTAATATGAGCATAATTCATCCTCTTCTCTCTACAGCTAATCCATCTGTTACTACCATATCTGCAAATGTGAATTCTATTCCCATGCTCAATGGGACAAATTTCAAGGATTGGAAAGAGAACATCTTGGTTGTTCTTGGCTGCATGGATCTAAATCTTGCGCTTCGGATTGAGCAACTCACTCCTCTTACGGACGAAAGTTCATCTGATGAAAATAGGAACTATGAAAAGTGGGATAGCTCAAATCGCATGAGTCTAATGATCATTAAGTGCAGCATTCCGGAAGCCTTTAGAGGCGCTGTATCTAAAGAAGTGACTAATGCCAACAATTTCCTTGTTGAAATTGAGAAATGTTTTGTAAAAAACGATAAGGCTGAAATAAGCACACTTCTGCAACGCTTGATTTCAATAAGGTATAAAGGCAAAGGAAATATAAGGGAGTACATCATGGAGATGTCTCACATTGCTTCCAAACTTAAGGCACTAAAACTCGAGCTGTCTCATGACTTGCTCGAAGATTTGGTATTGATCTCGCTTCTTGCACAATTCAATCAATTTAAGGTCAGTTATAACTGCTAGAAGGAGAAATGATCTCTAAATGAGCTCATTTCATATTGTGTGCAAGAGGAAGAAAGGTTGAAGTAAGACAGAACTGAAAATGTTCATTTGGTAAGCACTTCTAAGGCAATCACTTCTAAAGATAAGGGCAAGAAAAGAATGAAGGAATATGAAGCTGCTCCTAAGGGTCCAATACTAAAGAAAATGCAAGAGAATAAAAGGACTTGTTTCTTTTGCAACAAAACTGGACATTTGAAGAAGAACTGTACCAAATACCACGCCAGCGTGCAAATAAAGGTACAAATCTTACTTTGGTATGTTCTGAGGTTAATTTAGTTTCAAAACTTAGAAATACTTGGTTGTTAGATTCTGGTGCTACTACTCACATAAGTATTTCTATGCAAAGCTGTCTGAGCTACCGAGAGCCAAATGATGGTGGACACATCTATGTAGGTGATGGCAAGTCGGTGGAAGTTGATGTAATAGGCACGATTATTGTTAAAAACTGGTCATTATTTGGATTTGAAGGACACTTTTGTTGTGCCGTCTTTTAGATGAAATTTGGTTTCTGTTTCTTTATTGGACAAATTTGGTTATTATTGTTCATTTGGAAACAATCAGTTTAGTCATTCTTTAAATTCCAATATTATTGGTACTGGTTTATTATCTGCATATGATAACCTATATTTGCTTGATACTGTTACATCATATCATGAAAACCTGCATGTCTAATCACGTGGTACTAAACACAAATTAAATAATGAAAATTCAGCAAAATTATGGCACAAGCGCTTAGGTCACATCTCTAAAGCTAGAGTTGAACGACTTGTGTCAGATGATATTTTGGATTCCATTGACTTCACAGATTTTGATGTATGTATTGAATGTATCAAGGGAAAACAGACCAAAACTAAGAGATTATGTGCTAACAGAATTTCGGATGTCTTAGAATTGATACACACAGATATTTGTGGACCATTCCCTACGGCTTCTTGGAATGGTCAACAATATTTTATATCATTCATAGACGATTACTCACGTTATGGGTACCTATATCTTATTCATGAAAAGTCTGAGTCACTGGACATGTTCAAAGTGTTTAAAACAGAGGTTGAGAATCAACTCAACAAAAGAATAAAAAGCGTTAGGTCTGACCGTGGTGGTGAGTACTACGGCANAAGTCGGTGGAAGTTGATGTAATAGGCACGATTATTGTTAAAAACTGGTCATTATTTGGATTTGAAGGACACTTTTGTTGTGCCGTCTTTTAGATGAAATTTGGTTTCTGTTTCTTTATTGGACAAATTTGGTTATTATTGTTCATTTGGAAACAATCAGTTTAGTCATTCTTTAAATTCCAATATTATTGGTACTGGTTTATTATCTGCATATGATAACCTATATTTGCTTGATACTGTTACATCATATCATGAAAACCTGCATGTCTAATCACGTGGTACTAAACACAAATTAAATAATGAAAATTCAGCAAAATTATGGCACAAGCGCTTAGGTCACATCTCTAAAGCTAGAGTTGAACGACTTGTGTCAGATGATATTTTGGATTCCATTGACTTCACAGATTTTGATGTATGTATTGAATGTATCAAGGGAAAACAGACCAAAACTAAGAGATTATGTGCTAACAGAATTTCGGATGTCTTAGAATTGATACACACAGATATTTGTGGACCATTCCCTACGGCTTCTTGGAATGGTCAACAATATTTTATATCA